CTTGGCTAGCTCATGCCCGAAATAACAACACACAAACTGTATTCATTTAAAGAACTGCTTGGCCCATACTCTAGCCCTTATAGGCTAATTCTCGCACCTGGTCTAGCCCATTTCTAATAATGCGTGTAAGCACCCCGAGGTGCGCTTACCGGAAAGATTCTAGCCTAAGTCCATCGTGGGTTGCAGCTGCCTGGGAGAGCTGAGCATGGCATCTCTGCTCCAGCAGAGCTGTCGGGTCTCTCCGGGAGCAGAGCAGAGTCTCTAGCCATATATTATTAAGTTTAATTGTTACTGATCGTTTTGATATGGCCTCACCATTTTGTACTCCTACAGTAGGCTACACTTGGCATTGTGAGTTTTTGAGGTGGTATTACTCTATCGCTGTATCTCCTCATAACTATTGAGATCTGTGTCTTTTGCTTAGGCATCCTTTCCTGTGAGGGATCCTTGTTCTTGTCATCTGGCCTCCCAGGTGGCTCGTGGTTAGTCACCCGCTGCAGCCCTAGCCCTCAGCACACGCAAATGTGGGCATTCTGGGAAGCAGCAGCTATGGGTGATGGAGCCATACAAGGACTCCCTGCTGGTGTGTGATGCAGAAGGGTAGTCAGGGCAGGTCTCCACGTGCTCCTGAGTTCCACAGGCATGTCCCTGGCCCTTCTGAGTGTCCTCAGCCTGCAGCTCCTCAGCGAGCAGGCCATCCCCTTGGCTGTGCTGCCTGGAATTTCATCACCGCCAGGACTGCGTCACAGACACCTCAGCTGAGGCGCCACCCTTAGTGGGAGGCTGGCTGGAGCCAGGGAGGACGCAGGGGATCTTCCAATTCCTCCCCCTGCTCTTGCCTGCCTGAGCTGCTGCTGACTTCTTAGTCGCTGAAATGAAACTGTAAAAAGTGGCTCTGGCGTGTGGAGCTGTGGCCAGGGCCCCTGCCACTCAACTGGGAGACCCCAAGGTAAATGGCTTCTCTTCATTGAGCCTCTGTCCGCACTTGGGCATGTTACAGCCCCTCTGATAGGGTATTGGGAGCTCCAGTGCCCTGCCTAAGGCTACCAGGTTGGCCGTGGCTCTCAGACTCTGAAATCCTGACCATTCTTGACCACACCTGACTGCCTTCCTGCAGCTCTGAGCAACAGCAGCTGTGGGAGGCCTGTCTGTCAGCCAGCCCTCTGCTCACACAGGGTGCTTTGGTTCTGTTTTACTGGGTCTCACATTGCTTTGGGCTTAGTTCTTTACCCCAGCCCACTAGGGCTGACCCGTAGCTGGGGACAGTTTGGTTTTTTGGTTTTTAGCCCTCAACCCTAGGCCCTGAGCTGCTCTCTGATGTTCCCTGCACTGCTCCTGCCATAGAGCTTTCCCATCTTTTCTGACCCTGCCTGAGGGTCTTCTCACATGCTGTTCTCTGCATTGCCTTGATCCTTGAGGCTTTGCTCATGTGCACCCATACTACAACTAGCCAGCCCCATTCCCTACCATTTCCTCCTGATTTTCTCCTCAGCACCTCTCTCCCTGTGACATTGTTCTGCGGGATATGTGTGTGTGTTTTTCCTCTTTCAGAATGTTGAGTTTTGTGAGGCCCATCATTGTGTCTATGTGATGGTCTCCAGGGTCTGGAGCCTAGGACACACTCCCAGAAGACTGGTGTTTCTGCAGCTCTGCCTGTTGGTGAGAATCAGCTCATTCATTGCATGGCAATGTCAGTGCTGGGCTGGCCCACTTTAGTAGTACTGACGGGTGTGGGGGAGTTGCCCCAAGGGTATATAACTGCACTCAATGCAGCTTTGCAGATTGAGATCCGAGGGTGTACTGTTTCACTGAGGCCCCAAGGAGGGAGACTATCCAGAAGGTGTAAGCAGGAAGGCCAGAATACCTGAGCAGTCCCTGTGGTGATGGTGTGCTCTTGCTTTCTTGGTTCAGGAACCACTCACGTGGCTCCTTTGGTGTAGGGAGGACTTTGTTCTGTTTTCTAAACACGCTGGGGAGCTGTGAAGGGTTTGGACATGGAAGGACAAGGTCAGGTGTAAATGGAGGGATGAAAGTGAGGCAGGGGAACATGGGAGAGGGCTGAGTAGGGAGGAGCCAAGGCTGCAGGGCCCCAGGCTGAGCAGACAGCTGCTGACGTGGGACTGTAAGGCAAGTCAGCCTCGAGAACCACAGTGAGGACATGGGCATTTTTTGCCAAGGACATAGGGAGTTATGGAGGATTCTGAGCTAAGGAAAGACAGAGTCTTGGCTGTCCTGGAACTCACTCTGTAGACCAGGCTGGCCTCCAGCTCCCAGAGATCCGCCTGCAGCTGCCTCCGGAGTGCGGGGACTAAAGGATTGCCACCATGCTTGGCTTAAGACCGACTCACTTTTGAGGGTCTCTTTGGCTTCCGAGTTGGGGCAGGGAAGTAAGACTCCAGGAGGATGTGGACTAGGATTCTGCCAGCCAACATTAAACGGGAAGTGGGGAGGTTGACATTGATGGGCTGTTTATGGCTGAGAGCCCTGTGCTCCTGTGTGTTTGGGGTCGGCTTGTGGAGGACACCCCCTGTTGCTGTTTCGGCCCCACACTCCTTCATTATCTTTGTATCTTGGAGTCCAGCTTGTGATCTCACACCCGCCTGTCCTCCCGTCTTTGTCCACCTTGCCTTCCCTTTGGTCCCTCCCACTTACCTCCCTCCTTCTACCCAGGGCCTGGGCAGCCTGCCACTGTCACATGCCAGGCAGTTCTGTGTCCAGCCCACCAGCTCCCATGGGGCACGAGAGAAAGCTGATGCCCATGGTGTCCCTAGAGCCAGCTGCCACTTCTCCAGGGGCCTCTGTAGCTCCTGACCTGCTGTCCGCAAATAACCCTGGGTTGGGAGAGGCAGGCATAAGGCACTTTGGGCTCCATGGCCCCAGTCCAGGCCCAGGCTTCCAGGTAAGGGCCCAGCTGGTGGCTGCCCACATTTGTCCTCCTCCCTCTGCTCAGGGAACCTGAGACTCAGCAGCAGCTTCGGCGTCCGTTAGTCTGTTGGCTGGTAGCCCCTGAAGACAGATGCAGAGGTCCTGGAAAAGGAACCAGGCCTTTGGTCAAATCCCAGGACTGGCCTCTAGGCTTCAGACAAGTGTGTGTGCAGTAGGTTCCCTCAGGTGCCAGAGCTTCTGCGACTTCATTTATTTTCCTCATTCTTGTGGTGGGAACATGAAGGAAAAGGAAGCTGGGGATGGTACAGAACCTCCCTGTACTTGGGGGAAGCTGTTCTTAGTTTGCTTAAGGTGGCAGGTTGATTTCTAAAGAAATGAGTGCGTGCATGAGTCTGTCTGTCTTGGGGGCAGGCAGATAGATGCTGGTGGCTTTGAGCACACCCAAGGTGCCCAGGGCTGTCTGATTCATTCTCAGTTACCTCAGCACTGGGGCGTTGGGGTGAGGCAGGCAGGGGGTGGGGCTGCAGCTACCTTGCTCTCTTCCTGTCCAGCCTTAGGTTTGAAGGGAAGAGTTTGGTTTTTGTGGTGGTTTTTTGTTTTTTTTTTTTTTGAGACAGAGTTTCTCTGTATAACTCTGGAACCATCCTGGAACTCACTCTGTGGACCAGGCTGGCCTTGAACTCAGAGATCCACCTGCCTCTGCCACCCAGGTGCTGGGCTTAAAGGCATGTGCCCGGCCTAGGGAAGAGTTCTGCTGCAGAGCCTGTGCAAACTCAGCTCTTTTGTGATCCCATGTTTCTCCCTCAGGATCAGGCCCCAAGGGAAGAGCTCTTCCTGGCTCCCTGGCCAGCTACAGAGCCGAAGGGCCTCAGCGTCCAGGATGGGGCCCTCACCCTCACAATCCTCTCTTGTCTCGTAGACTGTACTGTACCCGAGGTGCCTCCTGCATGTCCTGCTGCCCTGAGCTGTCCCAAGGTAGGTGACAGCGTGTTAATGCTGCCACCATGAATGAGGTTTCTGTCATCAAAGAAGGCTGGCTCCACAAACGTGGTAAGGATTCACTTTTGCCCACCAGATTGTGTGTCTCCCTCTTGCATCCTGCTCTCCTCTAGCATCTCCAGCTCAAGGAACCATTACTCTATGTGGCCCTAGCTGGACATCCTGAATGAGTCCAGAGAAGGTTTTAGGCTCAGTATCTTTGTCAGCAATCTTATTCATACCTTCATCTTACAGGTGAAGAAACTGAGGCTTAGAAGGGGTAGTCACATAAAACTCAGATAACACAGCTAAGCCATATCGAGTCAGTGTTTATCAAATAGTCATTGATTGTAAGGTTCTGGGACCTTGTGGAAGCCATGTTCCACTTGGAGTGGAAATACAGTAAATAGACGCAGTGTCAGGTGGTAGGAAGGGCCATGTGAATGAGGGGTCAAGGGCTGGGAAGAGACAGTCTGCAGGGAGGTACTCTGAGGAGGTGACAGTGAACAGAGCCTGGAGGAGGAGGTACCTGGTACCTGAGCCACAGAAATTGCCTGGAAAATGTGTCCCATGAGAGGAGCAGAATGGACAAAGTCTCAGAGACCTGCACTTGCCTGGTGTTTCTAGAACACTAGCTGGAACAGGTGAGATGGAAGCTGGGCAGCCCCACCAGCCACAGTCCTCTGTGAGGACAGGAAGCTGAGGCCCTGGTGAGGTCATGAATAGAGTGGAGACTAGACCTTGAGAGCCCAGGGTCCCCTGTGCCTGCACCAGATGCCTTGTGACACTAGGAGTTAGATAAGGAAGCAACATGTGCTGAGAGTTGGCTTTGTCACCGCTGGCCTTCAGGGACCTTCTCCTGGGCAGGAAGGGTGCCAGGCCGGAAGAGGCTGGTTCACAGACACTTCCATTCACTCAGTGCTTAACTCATGGAGTGGCTCCTGTGTGTCAGGAGCTGTTCTAGATCTTAGAGACAGTCGGGGATCCCATCCTTGTGGTGACATGTGACATCCTGGGGCAGGTGAGGTGCCTAGGCCAACCTCTGTATCCACTGGCGGCCTCTGTTGTGAATAAATCACACAACGAGAGGAAGGTGGGTCTGAGGCTTACCGTGGAGAGCCATGCTGCATCTGGGGCTTGAGGAGGAGCAAGGGTGTCCCGTAGGTCACAGGCAGCGACATGTGGGGAACAGGACAATCAGGGCATCCTGAGGGGAGCAAGACGGGCACATTTGAATAACAGATGACTGATGAGAACCTGTCCTGCCATCTCTGGCCACAGACACCAGCAGTCACATGGAATGGGCTGCTTCTTAGGGCCAGCAGAACAGCAGAGGAAACCCCACAGCAAGTGGCACTCAGGGCACTCCAGCCCCATAGACTGAGCCTTGACTTTGAGACTGTCAAAAGGAGCCATTCAAACATTGACACCTGACAGGTTCTGATCCTGGCCCTGCCACTTCCTTTTGATGTGACAGTGGGTGAGCTGCACCGCCTGTCTTGGGTCTGTTTTTGATTTTTTGGTATCCTAAGCAGTTTTTAGCTTTGTAGTAATCCTGCATCAGCCTCCCTAGAACTGGGATGACAGGTATGCCCTTGGTCTGTGTCTGTGTGATGAATTAACAATTCAGCCGTTTGATGTCAACTCCCTTCAGGCAGGATTTTCATGTGCTGTGTTTACTATGCTGTCTTGATAGCCTCAAGAAATGTTTGACATCTAGTAGGTGTCCAGCAAACAGCTGCAGAATGAATGATTGGGATTGCATCTAATGGCAACTGTGCTCGGCTGTGTCAGTCTGCTGGACTCCTGTCCCTTGGCGGGAGTTTCCCTAGGCTCACTGGATTAAGGTTTTAGGAAGTGGGGAGGTGGCTAGGGAACCATTGAGTGCGGGGGCAGGGGTCTCTAGCCTAGACTTAGCTGACAAAGTGAGTCTTGACTCTGGCTCCTTTTAGGGCTTCATGTCTGTGTTTGTGTGTACCACACTGAGATGGGCTGAGTTGAATTGGCTGCTGGCCTGTCCTTGTCTTTTGTCTGGCCCACCTGCCTTGAATACACAGTACATATGCACAAAGGTGTACTCCTTGGCCATCTGAGTAGTAGCTGGCAGAAAGAGGGCTCTGCTGCCTCCTGATATCTGGGCATCTGTGCTAACCCATTCCCACTCCTGCTGGTTAAAATAGACATTGTACTGATTTACTCCCGGTCTGCCTGGTCTCAGGCTCTGCCCCAGGCAAGCCTGTGTTAATGAGTTTTCATGGATACTCTCTCAGAGCAGACTAGCAGCAAAAGTGATTGCTTGAAGCCTTGACACGAGGCAGTAGAGCTAAGTGGGACAGACCCTGGCCCTCTAATGCCTGCCTGGCCTGCAGTGTATGCTGCCTCTTACTTACTCAGCAGGGTCTGGGGTATGACTGACGGATGGTATGACTGCCACCAGATCCTATTTGTGGCTTGGCTTTAGCCATCACCACCACCCTTAGGAAAGCATACTGTCTCCCCTATTGGTGTGGAGGCAGACAGCATAGTGGTCAGGGCGAGCTCTGGGTTTCAGTACCAACTGTCCCAGAGAGCCAGTCATCCTATGATTCTTTTTTTTTTTTCTTTTTTTCCCCCTCAAGACAGAGTTTCTCTGTAGCTTTGGAGCCTGTCTTGGAACTAGCTCTGTAGACCAGGCTGGCCTCGAACTCACAGAGATCTGCCTGCTTCTGCCTCCCGAGTGCCAGAATTAAAGGCATGCGCCACCACCACCCGGCTCAGTCCTATGATTCTTGCCAAAAAGTGAGCCTCTCTGACTTAGTTTCCTCATTTGACTGTGAGGATTAGACTGTGATATAGTTTTTGGTTTTGTTTTGTGTTTTTTTCCTTTCTCTGTAGGCTTTTTGTTGCTAAAGTATGAAACATCACAGATAGATTAGGACCTGCATCATTAATCACCTATGCCAGCGTCCAGATAATGAAGCAGCAAGACAGTCCAGCACCATGTCCCACCTGAGCTGGAACTGCTACTTTTGTAGGATATTTTGTTGTTGTTTGTTTTTTAAAGAATGCATACAAGGCTAGCCCAGGGCCTTGTATGTGCAAGTTCTCTAAACTGCATCACCAGTTTGAGTTTTTCTAACATTCTTCTTTTTTCAATTGAGGTGAAATTGCCATAATATGAAATAAACCTTTCTAACTTGTATAATTGAGTGACCTTTATACATTCGTGGTGTTAGGTGGCCACTATTTTAAGTTCCCAAATACGTCATTACCCACAGGAAAGCCTTAAGCCCACTGAGCAGTTGGGTCTCCACCTCTTCTTGCGCACCTGCCAGCAGCAGTGCTTCCCAGCCATATGGACTATCTGCTCCAGACCCTCGACAGCGCTGGGATCACACACTGTGGCCTTTGTGACCTGGCTTCTCCTTGGCATAGTGGTTATCTGTATTAGACCTATGTCAATGCTTCGTCCCTTTTTTTTTGGGGGGGGGGGGTTTCGAGACAAGGTTTCTCTGTAGCTTTGGTGCCCGTCCTGGAACTAGCTCTTGTAGACCAGGCTGGCCTCGTCTACTCCCAGAGATCCGCCTGCCTCTGCCTCCTGAGTGCTGGGATTAAAGGCGTGCGCCACCACCACTCGGCCGTTCCTTTTTTTTTTTAAGATAATTTTTTTATGTATATTTTTCTGTGTGTATGCATGCATGTGTCTGTGGTAACCATGGAGGCCAGAAGAGGCTATCAGATCCTGTAGAGCTGCAGTTACAGGAAACTGAGCTGACCAATGTGGGTGCTAGGAACCCTACCTAGGTCCTCTGCAAGAGTGGGAAGCACTTTTTAACCACTGAGCCATCTCTCCAGCCCCTTATTCCTTTTTATAGACAAATAAGTGTATGGATACAGGATGTTCTTTTTTTTTTTTTAATTTTATTTATTTATTTATTTATTTATTTATTTATTTATTTATTGTACAATATTCTTTCTGTGTGTATGCCTGAACGCCAGAAGAGGGCACCAGACCTCATTACAGATGGTTGTGAGCCACCATGTGGTTGCTGGGAATTGAACTCAGGACCTTTGTAAGAGCAGGCAATGCTCTTAACCACTCAGCCATCTCTCCAGCCCCCCAGGATGTTCTTTAAATATACACTGAGTTACTTCTTTCTTTTGGCAATTGTGAATTGGTATCACTCTGAACAAAGTTTGTCTTTTTTTTTTTTTGACACAGTGTTATTTAGCCCAGAATAACTTTGAATTCCTGATTCTCCTGCCTTTGCCTCTTAAGTGTAATAAATGCTGCTACACCTAGTTCTTTTGTTTGTTTGTTTTATCATAGTTTTAGTTTGCATTTTCTCAGTGCCCAAAATATGGGGATTACTGATATGCTTGGGCTATTTTTTTTTTTTTCTCAAGACAGGTTTTCTCTGTGCAGCCCTGGCTGTCCTAGAACTCATTCTGTAGACCAGGCTGGCCTTGAACTCACAGAGTTCCGCCTACTTCTGCCTCCCTGTCTTTGGTGCAGTAGCTTTCCAGGTCCTTGACCTCTTTAAAACTCGGGCTCATTGCTCTCTTATTGAATTACAAAAGTTGTTTATATATTTTGGATACTGAGTATTTTAGATACTCATAAATAAAATTAGGCCAGGTGGTTGGCTTGGCAGCAAGCTGTAGGATTCTTCTGTGTCTGCCCACAGGTTACAGGAATTACAGGCCTACCCTGCCATGCCTGGCTTTTTCAGTGCGTGCTGGAGATGCGTGCTTAGTCTCCATGGTTGTGTGACAAGCACTTTTCCTGGTGAGCCATCTCCATAGCCCCACTTACTGGAATTTGCCTTAGTTTGCTTGCTTGCTTTTTGTTTGTTTGTTTTTAGGATTTATTGTTTTAGTTATGTGTGGGTGGTATAAACATGTGTGCAGGTCCCCTTGCAGGCATTGGCCTCCTCGAGACCTGGAGTTATAGACAGATGTGCACCACCCAATGTGGGTGCTGGGAACTGAACTCTGGTCCTTGGGAAGAGCAGCAGTGCTCCTAACCATGGAGCCATGTGTCCAGCCCTTAGTTTACTTTCTGTTGCTGTGATCAAGGCCACAAACGAGCAATTTAGGAAGGAAAGGATTTATTTCAGCTTATAGTTGTAGTCTGTCGTGAAAGGAAGTCAGGGCAGGAACTAAAGTGGAGGCCGTGGAGTAATGCTGCTTTCTAGCTGCTTCCCATGGCTTGCTCAGCCTGACCCTGCTCAGTGGTGGCAGTGGGATGGACGCCCCCCCCCCACATTAGCTGTTAAGAATATGACCTGTAAGCTTGAGAGAAGCATTTCCTCAGCCGAGGTTCCATCGTCCCAGGTGACCCTAGTTTGTGTCACACTTACAGAAAATTAACCAGTGCAGAATTTTTAATTTTTCGTTTTTGAAGAATATTTTTATTCAGCTAGGCATTGGGGCACATGTCTTTAATCTCAGCAATTGAAAGGCAGAGTCCGGCACATCTCTTGAGTTTGATGCTAACCTGGTCTATAAAGTGAGTTCCTGGACAGCCAAGGCTACACAGAGAAACCCTGTCTCAGAAAATCAAAAAGAAAAAAATTTAAATTCACATTTTATGTTTATTTTGTCTGCACACATGTCTGTGTACTGTGTGTATGCAGTGCCCACAAATCCCCTGGAACTGGAATTTCACACAATTGTAAAATGCTGTGTGAGTGGTGGGAATCCAACTTGGGTTCTCTGGAAGAGCAACCAGTGATCTTAATTGCTGAGACATCTCTCTAGCTCTCTTTAAAAAAATATATGTATAGCTGGACGATGGTGGTGTGTGCCTTTAATCCCAGCACTCAGGAGGCAGAGGCAGGTGAATCTCTATGAGTTTGAGACCAGCCTGGTCTACAGAGTGAGCCAGTGAGTTTCAGGACAGGCTCCAAAGCTACACAGAGAAACCTGTTTGAAAAACAAACAAGCAAAAACCCATCCCAGCCAAGCGAAAAAAATGTATGTATATATGTATTCATATATATTATATATATATTGATCTCACCCAGCGGCTGTTGGCACTGCTACAAACAAGCAAGCTCTGGGCTGCCAGGAGGATGACTGCGCGTAGTGAGTATATGATGCACTCCAAGAGCCACAGCTTCCTGAACTGGCTGCGGGAAAATGATCACAGAAAGAAGGAAGCCAGAAAGAAAGGCTCCCAGGTTCAGTGATCAGTTTAGTGATCTTAATTGCTGAGTCACCTCTCCAGCCCTCTTAAAACAGATGGTCCTGCCTCAATAAGATGACTGAGAAGACTTAGTTGACTTCCCAGGGGAGGTCTTAACCTGTCTGAGGAGTGGATGGAGGTAGCCGGGAGGGGAAAGTGGGAGGAGAGGAGGGAGGGGGAACTGGGATTGGTAAGTAAAAAATTGATTGATTAATTAATATATTAAAATATATCTAAAATAAAATATACATTAAAATTAATTAGTTAATATATACATATATGCACGTGTACATACACTAGCTGAGCTAGATCCCAGCTTTTGTGGATTCTTCTGTGACTTTTCACTATGAGGATCTTGTTTTCTGCAAACAAATATAGTTTTACTATACCCCTTTCAATGGGATACCTCTTACTTTCTTGGTCAGAAAAGGTGATTGACTTTCTGCCTTAGACCCAGTGGTGGCTCAGCTACTTTGTAGAATGGAGCATCAGGCCGTCATGCCCGAGGAGTGGGTTTGTGTAGCAGTGGAGAAAAGAGGCATCCTGATTTTGTTCCTGACCTCAGGGACCTGTCCAGTCTCTGCTGTACGACAGTGACGGCAGCACAGGCTTTCCCTGTGCCCTTCCTGTGCGAGGACCTCCTCCGTTTCCTTCCCAGCATGCTGAGCGCTCCAGTGAAGACGCTGCATTCTGTCGAATGTTTACTACACTGATTTATTTCCATAGAGTCTAGAGTTATTTTCCTTTTATTGTTATGTCTAATACACTGAATTCATAGGAAGTTCATCAACTTGGGCTCCTTTCCATTAGTCATCTCCGGGGGGAGTAGGCTGGCATGGCCACTGAGCCTGGGAGCCTTTCTTTCTGGCTTCCTTCTTTCTGTGATCATTTTCCCGCAGCCAGTTCAGGAAGCTGTGGCTCTTGGAGTGCATCATATACTCACTACGCGCAGTCATCCTCCTGGCAGCCCAGAGCTTGCTTGTTTGTGGCAGTGCCAACAGCCGCTGGGTGACATTGTGGACTCTTCCAGTTTTGCCATGGTAACTTTTATGGGGTGTTCCTTTTTGAGCACTTCCATCCCTTTGATGTCTACACTGTCTCCCTTCTTGTACATTCCCATATATGTGGCCAAGGGAGCAACTCTGCATCCTGAAAGGCCTGAAGAACAATATTAGTGGCTGTCATCTTTCCCTTTCCTTCGTGTCCCAGCTAATGGCTGGAAGATGGAGGCTCTGACTGATATTTACTTGGTCACAGTGTATAGTTTTCCTCTTTCTTCTGAAACAAGCTGTCCCTGAGTTGTGCAGGCAGGCTTTAGGTTCCCGAGGCTGTCCTGCCTCGGCCTTCTCAGAACAGCCAGTGTTACAGTCAGTTTTAGACTGGTTTGTTTTGGTTTAAGACACTGGCTCATTCTAGACCATGCTGCCCTAGAGTTCACTGTGTAGCTCAGGATAGCCCTGGAACTTTCTGAAATCTTCCTGCCTCAGCCTTCTAAGTTTTGGAATTGCAAGTGTGAGTTATCACACCTGGCTTTCAGTTTTAGACAGTTTTTACTACCCTAAAAAGAACCTTTTTCACACTGCTTCTAATATTCCCATCTCCAGACCCTCATCTTCCCAGGCCCAGGCATCCTTTAATCCACTTTTTGTCTCCACAGAGTTAGCTGTTGTGGACATTTTATGTAAGTGGGCATATATATAGATTTTCCTGAACTTGGGGGAATGTGCCATACGTTAGAACCATCACACTGCAAACACACCTGACACGCCTAGCTTCCCTGAGCATCATCGTGTAGCCACAGTGGAATGACTGAGTTTTGGTTGTGTACTCTTGAATTGCAGGGCTGACTGAGAGTCCCACACACGTGTGTGTGTGTGTGTGTGTGTGTGTGTGTGTGTGTGTGTGTGTGAGAGAGAGAGAGACAGAGAGAGAGAGAGAGAGAGAGAGAGAGAGACAGAGAGAGAGACAGAGAGAGAGAGAGAGACAGA